ATCTTCATTAAAGAAGATTTATGGTCATGACCTATACTTTCATTATATAACATCAGCATCATCATGTCAATACCCACATTGCTTATTTTTCCATTCATGTTGTGAATTCTGCCTATCTGCTGCTCATCTTTCTGCATCCTCCTGGATTCCTGGCATGCTTTGCAGCTTCTCTTCCTCTCATTTTCTTGGCTTACTTTTGATTTATAAGGGCTTGTTTACATGTAGGGTAGATTTTACTGTATTTCTAAACAAAACTATTCACAGTGGATCGCTTTTCAGAGGAGGTTAGTAGATATGTTGCTTCCTGAACACCTATTTCAACCAGTGAAAGCAATAAAAACACAGATCAACCACATATTTTACCACCCGAGCTGCACATGTGAACAAAGCCAAAGGACTACAAATCTCAGAGTACCTTGCTGCCTACATGCCGTGGTGATGTCACATGTGATGTTTTTCCTGTACGGACTGTGCCTCCTGAAACTACTGCAGTATATTTGTAGTTCAGAAGGCAGGCTCTCTGAAATGTGTGACACAGCAGTGCCTACTCACAGGGCATAGTGAATTGTCTCACAGAATTCAAGGAATGTCTCATGTCATAGGTAAAATGGGGTGGGGTCCTTTGGACACAGCTGATCACAGATCGTGGTAAAGGGCCAATCACAGTGGCCCTTTACCATGTGATCAGCTTTGTCCAATCAATAAACAGATTGCAGGTTATCGGCTTTTTCTTTTGCTCAGTGCTGTTGCTGTGTGAGGAAAGGTAAGCCGATAACCGGCAATCCTGACAGTGCTTTGTTTACACTGATAATCAAGCCACTGATCAACGGTGCCCTGGTTATTATCAGTGCAGCCCCAGCAGTGCAGCCTATCAGTGCCCATCAGTACTGCCTATCAATGCCGCTTTTTAATGCTCATCGGTGTTGCCTCATCAGTGCAAATCAGTGCTGTCTCATCAGTGCAGCCTCATTAGTTTCCATCATTGCAGCCCCATCAGTACAGCCTATCAGTGTTCATCAGAGCAGCCTATCAGTGCCCATCAATACAGTCTCATCAGCGCACACCAGTGAAGAAGCTTTTCTAACAGAAGGGAAAAAAAGCATTTTGTTCTTCACATTTGTTGGTCTTTTTTTATTTGTTTAGCAAAAAATAACCCAGTGGTGATTAAATACCACAAAAAGAGAGCTCTATCAAATAAGTACAGTGTTGCATGACAGCACAATTGTCATTCAAAGTGAGACAGCGCTGAAAGCTGAAAATTGGCCTGGGCATGAAGGAGTAAAAGTGCCCTGGTATTGAAGTGGTTAGGAGTAATCACTCTGTATAAATAGAATAATTGAGACAATCCTAACTACTCACCATGCCTAGCTTCCTAGTCACCTAACCTGGAATCTTACTATTCATACCTAGAATCTTGCTCACCATACCTGGAATCGTACTATTCATACCTAGAATCCTGCTCACCGTACCCAGAATCTTACTATTCATATCTAGAATCCTGCTCACCGTACCCAGAATCTTACTATTCATACCTAGAATCCTGCTCACCGTACCCAGAATCTTACTATTCATACCTAGAATCCTGCTCACCGTACCCAGAATCTTACTATTCATATCTGGAATCCTGCTCATCGTACCCAGAATCTTACTATTCATACCTACAATCCTGCTCACTATACCCAGAATCTTACTATTTATACCTACAATCCTGCTCACTATACCCAGAATCTTACTATTCATACCTAGAATGCTGCTCACTGTACCCAGAATCTTACTATTCATACCTAGAATCCGGCTCACTATACCCAGAATCTTACTATTCATACCTACAATCCTGCTCACTATACCCAGAATCTTACTATTCATACCTAGAATCCTGCTCACTATACCCAGAATCTTACTCTTCATACCTACAATCCTGCTCACACTATACCCAGAATCTTACTCTTCATACCTATAATCCTGCTCACTATACCCAGAATCTTACTATTTATACATACAATCCGGCTCACTATACCCAGAATCTTACTGTTCATACCTAGAATCCGGCTCACTATACCCAGAATCTTACTATTCATACCTAGAATCCGGCTCACTGTACCCAGAATCTTACTATTCATACCTAGAATCCTGCTCACCGTACCCAGAATCTTACTATTCATATCTGGAATCCTGCTCATCGTACCCAGAATCTTACTATTCATACCTACAATCCTGCTCATCACCCATACCCATACCTCTTACTATTTATACCTACAATCCTGCTCACTATACCCAGAATCTTACTATTCATACCTAGAATGCTGCTCACTATACCCAGAATCTTACTATTCATACCTAGAATCCGGCTCACTATACCCAGAATCTTACTATTCATACCTAGAATCCTGCTCACTATACCCAGAATCTTACTATTCATACCTAGAATCCTGCTCACTATACCCAGAATCTTACTATTCATACCTGGAATCCGGCTCACTCTTACTACCCAGAATCTTACTCTTCATACCTAGAATCCTGCTCACTATACCCAGAATCTTACTCTTCATACCTACAATCCTGCTCACTATACCCAGAATCTTACTCTTCATACCTATAATCCTGCTCACTATACCCAGAATCTTACTATTTATACATACAATCCGGCTCACTATACCCAGAATCTTACTATTCATACCTAGAATCCGGCTCACTATACCCAGAATCTTACTATTCATACCTAGAATCCTGCTCACTATACCCAGAATCTTACTATTCATACCTACAATCCTGCTCACTATACCCTGAATCGTACTATTCATACCTAGAATTCTGCTGACTATACCCAGAATTTTACTATTCATACCTAAAATCCTGCTCACTATACCCAGAATATTCCTATTCATACCTAAAATGCTGCTCACTATATACAGAACCTTACTATTCATACCTAGAATCCTGCTCACTATACCCAGAATCTTACTGTTCATACCTAGAATTCTGCTCACTATACCCAGAATCTTACTATTCATACCTAGAATCCTGCTCACTACACCCAGAATCTTGCTATTCATACCTAGAATCCGGCTCACTATACCCAGAATCTTACTATTCATACCTAAAATGCTGCTCACTATATACAGAACCTTACTATTCATACCTAGAACCCTGCTCATTATACCCAGAATCTTACTATTCATACCTAGAATCCTGCTCACTATACCCAGAATATTCCTATTCATAACTAAAATGCTGCTCACTATATACAGAACCTTACTATTCATACCTAGAACCCTCCTCACTATACCCAGAATCTTACTATTCATACCTAGAACCCTGCTCACTATACCCAGAATCTTACTATTCATACCTAGAACCCTGCTCACTATACCCAGAATCTTACTATTCATACCTAGAATCCTGCTCACTATACCCAGAATCTTACTATTCATTCATACCTAGAATCCTGCTCACTATACCCAGAATCTTACTATTCATACCTAAAATCCTGCTCACTATATACAGAATCTTACTATTCATACCTAGAATTCTGCTCACTATACTCAGAATCTACTATTCTCAGAATCTTACTATTCATACCTAGAATCCTGCTCACCATACCTGGAATCCTACTATTCATACCTAGAATCCTGCTCACCATACCTGGAATCCTACTATTCATACCTAGAATCCTGCTCACTGTACCCAGAATCTTACTATTCTTACCTAGAATCCTGCTCACCATACCCAGAATCTTATTATTCATACCTAGAATTCTGCTCACTATACTCAGAGTCTTACTATTCACACCTTGAATTGTGCTCACTATACCCAGAATCTTACTATTCATACCTAGAATCCTGCTCACCATATCCAGAATCATACTATTCTTACCTAGAATTCTTACTATTCATACCTGGAATCCTACTATTCATACCTAGAATTCTGCTTACTACACCTTGAAGCTTACCATTCATACCGAGAATCCTGTTCATTATATTGTATCTTGAAAATATCTCACCATACCCAGAATCCTACTCGCCATATCTGGTACGTTACTATTCATACCTAGACTCCTACTCACTGTGGGCTCTATTTACTAAAGCAGATCGTATGCAGTATTTAGGTGATCTGACACATTTTCCCCAGATATCACATGCAATGCTGAAAATGGCAATTCACTATCCCTTTATGCGGTATTTACCTCAAAAATGCCAGGTAAATATCGCATGGTCCAGGCATGCGATACTGAAGGAATGTAAAAATATAATAGCCAGTTTGGCAGTTTGGAGTATTCTGTACTTTTTTGGATCAGTAGTTTCTCAACAGTAATACACAGAAGCCAAAATATGGATAAAACCACAGAAATGTTTCATTTATTGAAATATATTTATTTTTTCCTGTCACCCTGTTATTTCACCAGATTTTCAGAAACTTTTGTGTGTATATACAAGCTTATACATCATTTGCTGCATAAACCTCCCAATCACTCCAAACATAATACAATGTACATGCTTATCACAATAGTCGAATCCCTTGTTAGAACATATGTCATATGTAGAGGGAATACTTTAATTTATCTTTGGAGATATCTTTGGCAAATTTTTTTGCAAGACAGAATCGGAAGGAATAGACAGTATTCTTACAAAGGTGTGGAACTTGAGCTGTTAGGAGAGGGGTGTCCTCAATTTAAAGGTTTGGCAGATGGATACCTGATTGACACTTTAACCACTTGCCTACCAGGCACTTATACCCCCTTATTTACCAGGCCAATTTTCAGCTTTCAGCGCTGCCGCACTTTGACAATTGCGCGGTCATGCAACATTGTACCCATATGAAATTTTGATCATTTTTTTCTCACAAATAGAGCTTTCTTTTGGTGGTATTTAATCGCCACTGGGCGCTTTACTTTTTGCGCTATAAATAAAAAAAAAAGTGCAAAAAAATTTGAAAAAAAAAAGTTTCTTTGTTTCTATTATAAAATTTTTCAAACAAGTAATTTTTCTCCTTCACTGATGTGCGTTGATGAGGCAGCACTGATGGGCACTGATAGGCGGCACTGATGGGCACAGATAGGCAGCACTAAAGGGCACTGATAGGCAGTACTAATGAGGTGGCACGGATAGGCGGCACTGATAGACAGCACTAATGAGGTGTCACGGATAGGCGGCACTAATATGCAGCACTGATAGGCGGCACTGATAGGTGACACTGATGATGGGTACTGATAGACGGCACTGACTGGCATCACTGCTGGGCACTGACTGGCGGCACTGACTGGCACAACCGCTGGGCACTGACTGGTGGCACTGACTGGCAGCACTGCTGGGCTGCACTGGTGGGTGGCACTGGTGGGTGGGCACAGGTGGGTGGCACTGGTGGGCACAGGTAGGTGGCACTTCTGGGCACAGGTGTGTGACACTGCAGAGTGGCACAGGTGGGTGCACTGCTGGGCACAGGTGGGTGATCTGCTGGGCACAGGTGGGCGGAGCTAGTGGGCGCACTGCTGGGCACAGGTGGGCAGAACTTGCGGGTGGCACTGCTGGGCACCAATCATCAGGGCACTGATCATCAGTGCCCTGATGATCGGTGCCGATCCCCGCTCTGACAACTGCCGGTTCTCGGCAGTACTTTCCTCACGATCTGACAGCGTGAGGAAAGTGCAGCCGAGAACCGGCACTTGCATTTCCCTCTGATCAGCGTGTCATTGGACACCGCTGATCATGTGGTAAAAGGCCGCTGTGATTGGCCTTTTACCACATCACGTGATCAGCTGTGTCCGTAGGACACAGCGATCACGGAGTCATATGACTCTCCACTCAGAACTGGCCGGCCGCAGTGCAGCCGTCATTCAGCTATCTGCGGTCGGCAACTAGTTAAAGAATATCAGAGAATGACAATCGGGGAGATTTACTTGCTTGAACAAACTGGATTGAGAAGTTGGTTGATTACAGTGAACAACTGCACCAAATTCTCTGGGCACCAGTTTTTCTCCCCCCCCAATGGCTATTCTCTAGCAAGTCAAACCAGACATTTCCAAATATATTGCAATGAATTCACCAAATATCACAGCAAAAATTACTTTAACCACTAGCCTACTGGGCACTTATACCCCCTTCTTGCCCAGGCCAATTTTAAGCTTTCAGCGCTGTAGCACTTTGAATGACACTTGCGCGGTTGTGTAACACTGTACCCATATGAAATTTTTATCACACAAATAGAGCTTTCTTTTGGTGGTATTTAATTGCCACTGGGTTTTTTATTTTTTGCACTATAAACAAAAAGAGTGCAAAAAATTAGAAAAAAAAAATGTTTTCTTTCTTTCTATTATACAATTTTGCAAACAGGTAATTTCTCTCCTTCACTGATGTGCGTTGATGAGGCAGCACTGATGGGCACTAATAGGCAGCACTGATGAGGCGGCACTGGTGGGAATTGATGAGGCACTAATATGCAGCAATGATAGTCACTGATAGGCGGCGTTGACTGACTGACTGGCAACACTGACTGATGGCACTGACTGGCGACACTGCTGGGCACTGATGGACGGCACTGCAGGGCACTGATAGGCGGCACTGCTGGCCGGTACTGTGGGGCACTGATGATCAGCACCGATCTGCTCTGTGACAGCTGCCGGTTATCGGCAGTACTTTCCACACACTGACAGCGTGAGGAAAGTGCTGCTGATAACCGGCAACTATATTTACTCCGTGATCTGCTGAGTCATTGGACACAGCTGATCACGTAGTAAAAGGCTGCTGTGATTGGCCTTTTACCTCATAATGTGATCAGCTGTGTCCATAGGACACAGTGATCACAGAGATTGCCGGGTGCGTGCTGCTGATGCCCTCCCAGAACTGGATAACCATGCTGTAGCCGTCATTTGGCTATAGCGCGGTTAGCAAGTGGTTAAAGTGTAACCAAAGGCAAAAACTTTTTTTTTTCATTATGGATAGTGTAATGGAGGGTTAGAACCCCCATCAGTTTTTTTTATCATCTGCTTCCCATTGGGGAAATTTCCCCTTTGTTAGTGTTCCAATGGCAGCCCAAAATGTGGGATTTCCTTTCCCTTTCAATGATAAGGAGAAACAGTAGAACTAAAGAGAGTGCATTTCTCTAACAGGGACACAGACAGCAATAAAACTGACAGGTGTTTTAATCCCTCTCGGCTCTATCCATCCCAGTGGATATGATGCCATGCAATAAAATCCCATTTGTTTTCTTGAGATAAGTACTGCAAATTTTGATGAAATACCGCATAAGGGATTTTATAAGCATTTTTAGTGAATTTTTTTTAAAAACGCCAAGAGGTATTTTGCTGTGGTTAAAAAAGATAAACACCACTTCTTGAATTGAGCCCAATGTCTTGAATACTACTCACTATACCTGTAATCCTGCTTTCCATACCTAGAAAACTTCACACCTATCATCCAACAGCTGGTAGTATAGTCTGGTTCTGCTCAAACATTATTTTTAAATGTTTCTATTTATCACATTTATTGTTCCTGGTTATCCTCTGAGAATAACTAGGAAATGGATTCCTGTATTTTTCCCAATGTTCCCATGTATTGAGCTACTGTATTGTATTGATTTTTGATATGACATCTGTTTTGTTATTTATACAAATCTGATTTAAAAAAAAGAATACCACTCCCCATACCTAGAACCTTGCTTTACAGACCTAAAATCCTCACCATAGTCTCACTATAGACTTGCCATACTTAGAATCCTATTTACCCTACCTAAAATACTGCTCACCATACCTAGAATCATCCTTACTGTACCTAGAATATTGCTGCTAATATCTAGAATCCTCTTTATCTTACCCAGCATGCTGCTGACCATACCAAGAGTCCTCCTTATCCTAATGATAATGCTGTTCATCCTACCTAGAATATTGCCCACCATATCTGAAGTTCTCCTTATCTTACCCAGAATACTGCTGACCATACCTAGAATCCTCCTTAACATACATAAAATATTGTTCACTTTACCTAGAATCCTCCTTACCTTACATATACAGTCGGCTCCATAAATATTGGGACATCGACACAATTCAAACATTTTTGGCTCTATACACCACCACAATGGAATTGAAATGAAATGAGCAAGATGTGCTTTAACTGCAGACTGTCAGCTTTAATTTGAGGGTATTTACATCCAAATCAGGTGAACGGTGTAGGAATTACAACAGTTTGCATATGTGCCTCCCACTTGTTAAGGGACCAAAAGTAATGGGACAGAATAATAATCAGAAATCAAACTTTCACTTTTTAATACTTGGCTGCAAATCCTTTGCAGTCAATTACAGCCTGAAGTCTGGAACGCATAGACATCACCAGACGCTGGGTTAAATCCCTGTTGATGCTCTGCCAGGCCTCTACTGCAACGGTCTTCAGTTCCTGCTTTTTCTTGGGGCATTTTCCCTTCAGTTTTGTCTTCAGCAAGTGAAATGCATGCTCAATCAGATTCAGGTCAGGTGATTGACTTGGTCATTGCATAAAATTCCACTTCTTTCCCTTAAAAACCTTTTTGGTTGCTTTTGCAGTATGCTTTGGGTCATTGTCCATCTGCACTGTGAAGCAGCGTCCAAAAGGTTCTGAAGCATTTGGCTGAATATGAGCAGATAATATTGCACGAGAAACACTTCAGAATTCATCCTCCTGCTTTTGTCAGCAGTCACATTATCAATAAATACAAGAGAACCAGTTCCATCGGCAGTCATACATGCCCACCTAGGATCCTCACTATGCCAGGAATCCTGCTGCACAGGTCTAGAGTCCTCATCATATCTAGAATTCTACCTACCATTCGTAGAATTCTAAATATCAAACCTAAAATTCTGTTCACTATATATAGAAGACTGGATACCATCACTGCAATCCTCCTAGCCATACTTAAAATCCTACTCACCAGACCTAGAATCTTACACATCCTACTAAGAATACTGCTCACCATTACTGAAATCCTACTCACAATTCGTAGAATACTTTTTACAAAACCAAAAATCCTTCCAACCATATGTAAAAAACTGCTCACCATCCCTGGAATACTATTTACAATGCATAGAATACCAATGACCTGAAATTGGCCATACCTAGAAACCTATTACCATACCTAGAATACTACTTACTGTACCTAAAATCATATTTATTTGTAGATAATCACCCTCCACACCCTAATTGCTACTCACCATACCCAGGTTCTCAATGTTGGGTTTGTACAAGAGTGTCTCTGAATGGCTCTTCAGCCAATCTGTGTTGTAGTCATAGTTCTGTTAACCGTGTAACTGTTTTACTATTCAACCCATTCATGTAACTGACACATTCATAGATCATAAAGATTTAATTTCCCCCTTGGCTTAGTAGAGATATTAATTATATCCTCTTGATTATGTAGATAGTGGATAATTATACTTCTACTGTATCAAGTGCTTGTAATCATGTGCTCTTCATTATGTAAATAAACCAGGCATATTTCATATAGAATACATTTTCAGCATTCAGCTTAACCAACTGGCTGAACATACAGTGGATATAAAAGGTCTGCACACCCCTGTTAAATTGTCAGGTTTCTGTGATGTAACAAAATGAGACAAAGATAAATAATTTCAGAGCTTTTTCCACCTTTAATGTAACCTATAAACTGTACAGCTCAGTTAAACAACAAACTGAAATAGTTTAGGTAGAGGGAAGTAAAAATAAAAAAACTAAAATAATATGGTTGCATAAGTGTGCACACCCTTAAACTAATACTTTGTTGAAGGACCTTTTGATTTGATTACAGCACTGTCTTTTTGGATATGAGTCTATCAGCATGGCACATCTTGACTTGGAAATATTTGCCCACTCTTCCTTGCAAAAACACTCCAAATCTGTCAGATTGCGAGGACATCTCCTGTGCACAGCCCTCTTCAGATCACCCCACAGATTTTTGATCGGATTCAGATCTGGGCTCTGGCTGGGCCATTCCAAAACTTTAATCTTCTTCTGGTGAAGCCATTCCTTCTTTGATTTGGATGTGTGCTTTGGGTCGTTGTCATGTTGAAAGGTAAAGTTCCTCTGCATGTTTAGCTTTCTAGCAGAAGCCTGAAGGTTTTGTGCCAATATTGACTGGTATTTGGAACTGTTCATAATTCCCTCTACCTTGACTAAGGCCCCAATTCCAGCTGAAGAAAAACAGCCCCAAAGCATGATGCTGCCACCACCATGCGTCACTGTGGGTATGGTGTTCTTTTGGTGATGTGCAGTGTTGTTTTTACACCAAACATATCTTTTGGAATTATGGCCAAAAAGTTCAACCTTGGTTTCCTCAGACCATAACACATTTTGCCAACTGCTTTTGGGAGACTTCAGATGTGTTTTTATAAAAATTTAGCCGGCCTTGGATGTTTTTTTTTTGTAAGAAAAGGCTTCTGTCTTGCCACGCTACCTCACAGCCCAGA